GTAACTACAACTACAGTTAAATTCTTCGCCTCAGTAGGACCAAAGTTTAGCTGAATGGTATTTCTGAAAACCGCGTCGTGCATAACAATCGTAATTCTTGAAGCAATCTAAATCAAGTCAGACTTTGTGATTGATGAGTAGGTCCATCCACTTGATTTCACCACAAAAAGGCACTTTGATCTTGGAGGTCACTCTGTATTATGTGTGTTGCAGTAGTCGTGGTGGGAACCCTGACACTTGAAGCAAGATAAAATTTACCCGTAGGATAGCCATTCATATTTATTCGTTAGTACCCGGCCGCTTGCCTTGAAGTTCGTGTGCCTTGTACCGGGTAGTTCCAACTCGTCCGGTTACCAGCGACCATTAGCTAGTCAGTGTACCTGGATATTTAGGTGTCGTTTCTCCACTTTGCTGACGGTTAGGCTCAAATGCCCGTTACATACTACACTGTTTGTGCACCATGGGATCTGTGAACTTTGTGCTCTTGACCTTTGGTTTCGGTCATTCCTCTAGCAAATGCCCATCTGCTGTTAGCTGCGTCTGCTTAGCTGGTCAACAGGTTGGCACCTGATAACACAGCTATACAGGCAAAAACACTCAGTTCAAAGCTTGCAGGCCTGACGTGGCAGCTTTTGAAACAGAGATCAGGGTTATTCAGGTCCACGAATTCCCAGTGATTTTTTGGCTTTAAACCGAAGGAGGATTGCCACCTGAGACTTGCGTATGCAGTGTATTTGATGATACATTGAAACTATCAGTAATTTGTGCCACCGCTTGCTGGCGTCCCGAAGGTTTACCGCGCTTGTCATTGCGAATTTACTGTCTGATTTGTGTGACCTCCTGGTTGATGTAATGTGCGTCATACAGGTCAGGTATCCAGCTGACTTATGATCGTGACCAGAAGTCAGCTGATCACTTGGGCTCTTTTCAGTCTGCTGGTAGCCGCTGAGTGGGATAAGTTTCCCGTTGTCCTTGCTAGAGACTGTGAATTGCTCCACTTATTAGAATGCCCCTCTAGTAAATGATGTAGATCAATAACCCAATAACTAGGTCTCAACTCCTACGGGCAGTAAGAAAAATTGCTTCAGAAAAGATGTGACGAGAAGCACCTTTGGAATTGCAGTGAGGATCACCGACTTTGTGTAGCGGTCTTCTTCTGGCATGAGAAAAACAATTTCAGTGCTTTTGATGTTATTATGCCCATGAGGACAAAGTATGTGGTTCTTATTTATCATTTTATAATGGCGCACAATATTGGTTCTTTATACATTTTTGTGTAGAAATAGCCAACCTTGTACCCTGATTCGTTGTTCGCGCCTCCTTTAGCTGTTTGATGGGATGTCAGGCATTGTTGATTTTACTGCGTAGATATTGTTTTTCCAATTGCTGAAGAAAAACTGAGTCGGAGAGTTTTCAGAGTAGAACTTGACCGTGAACTTTGCTACCTGGAGAAAGCCCAAATACCTAAATAATCAAGTTCTGATTTGATGCCATTAAATCTAACGGACAGATATTTATCAACTGGGCGTGCAATCGATTCCCCAAGTAGGGCAAGATCATGGACCGTGTTGTAAACCGATGTGAGTTTTGTTTCATTGCATCTTCAGCACCTTCATGATCCTAATCATAATAGGGCGATTATTCGTGTCAGTGACTGCCAGATCGGATGCGCTATAGGCGTTGGTTATTTCTTCCAACCCAGTTTGTCTTTCACCCTATTGGGGCCCCACGTGAGCGGGGATTTTTATTTAGTGTGTCTATCAATGAACAGCTGATGGATGCGTTTTCAAGTAGTACGCCTATCTGGCTTGTCAGGCATGAAAAACGTGGTGACTGCTCATCCAGCATAGCTTAGGTCTTCATCTACTCCGTGTGGGTCCTCCATTGGCTGAGCGTGGATGCGTTAATTTAAAATGTTATCTCAAGTTTTACTGTAACACGGCTTCATGACTTCAGGTTTACTGGGCACATTGTTTCACTGATAAAGCCGTCGACTAGCTTTTATCGACTATGTTGCTAGCGCACCCAATGTGCACAGGTTCACTTCAAAACTAGTCTGAACAATTATCTGGGGGGTGGATTAATAGGCCTTTCACACCCAATAATACATGCACTTCAGTTAAGTGGGAACATCTGACTCTCCACATTTTTGTTCACAAAAGGAAGAAAAAACTGTAGGATGGTAATCGATCTAGCGAAGTTTAGAATTGTAAGCGCAACATTCCATGTCACATTACAGGAGGGCTTCTTATCTCACAGTGGAACCATATTATCCGTGACTTAGCAATGCGTCAACTGTGGTGAGACTTAATAGCTATATGATGTGGAATGTGTGATAACTGGGACCGGAATGCATTGTGTGTTGGGTGGGGCACATCTACTCGAATAACTATTTAAAGATTTGTTGGAGTAAATGATGAAATCAAACAGTCACCGCAGGTCCAAATTGAAAACAAATGTTCCTTTCTGAGTTTCAAAAGAAAGGAAGGCAACGCCTCCACCTGAAGTTTCACGTTTGGAAGCTACGCTTGATATTAAGTATCGTTGCGGACATGCTACAAGCGATTACTTACAGTCTCATTGCAAATAATTGAATAGCGTTTTTCCACCTTGATTGTGAGTCTGTTCGGTTGCATTGACCGCGGAGCCTGTTCCCCGGTAAAGCAGTGAGGCAGCCTTTCTCGGGCCTCAGCAACACTAGTTTCTCCTATCCATCATGTTCATAGGCCTAGTTAGTTATATATCACGTCAGCCCAGATTGCTGCGAACTCCTCTATAGTCTTTGACTGTTCAAGCACTTCCCCTTGCTTGAACTCCTGGCACAGCTACAGACGATAACTCCAAAATATTCGTAAAAAACACCAAAACAGTCGGGTACTTATAGCATAAATGTATCTAAGAAGAGTTTATTAAGACACCATGCTATGTTTTGCTGGTCAGAGTTTAACGTTGCCTGTAAATAAGCAGCTCCACAAAAACAACTTCCCCGTGATTTCGGGAACGATACATTTGAGTTGCATCTGTTGGGCCGATTTCGGTACAGCTATCTTAGTTAGTTTGCTATTGTGCTTTTCAGTTTTGTTCAGACTATGGTTAGAAATCTAATTTAGACTAAACTGCTGAGCACGTCGTCACTTTGCTCTTCTGCACTCATGTTCGTATGCTATTGTGCTTTTCAGTTTTGTCCAGACTATGGTTAGAAATCCAATTTAGAATAACTTGCTGAGCACGTCGTCACTATGCTCTTCTGCACTCACCTTTCCAATGCATACCAAATGTGACAATTAAAACACGTCTGGCAGCTTTTTTGCAGTTGGAATCTGCACATTAAGACCAGTCAGTTCAGTCAGTAGATGTCATATAAGTATCCACTTCTATGATTTTTGTTTCCGTTGTAAAACAACAAGCGCGAAGTCCTAAAATCTACCAGCGCTTGTCAGCAGTGTTCTACGTTGCTAATGCTTAGAGACTCTGCCAAAGTCTGAAACCACCGACTTTCTATTCATGCTAACATGATTGATTACGCCAGCCGTTTGATTAAGGCTATCTTAGGCACCTGAATATATGCACGCGTACGTGACTGTGGTGATGTACTATTTGCAACAAACTAGTTTCATCAACTGCATATAAACAGTGTAGCAGGCGGTTCAAAGTGTCCCATCGTATGCTGACTTATGATAATGGTGACATAAATTTGAACGTGTTCCATTCAGACGCAAGAAATGCAGCAGCAGCTGTCATTCGCTCACTCATATGGGAGGGAACTTTTAGAGTGGTCTATTAATTAGTAGTACTTCGGCAACATAGTCTGTTGCGGTGTAAAACACAATAAAATTAGACGTAATACGCCACTCATAAGGCTGCTGAAAAGTATTCGATAGCCCAGAACCGGTTTCGCCCTTCTTGGAGTTTATCCGGTTACAACAAATTAGGTTTCACAAACTAGACAAGTCTCTCCTATTAAAGCTCTATGGCAAGTGCCACGCAGTCTAATTTCAAAGCAGTTAGAATTCTTTAAAAATAGATTCTCACAAAACACTTTTGGGAAGACTTGTTGCTTTTGCATTCTTCATAATGCCCCATTCTTAGTGTTCCGAAAAGTCGTTGACGGAGAATTCACTGGAATAGGTCGAACACGATTGCTGTCTATCAGTAAGCATCGTCAGAGTCACGGAGTGAGAGATGTCCATTTCATAATTTACAATATGTGAACAGATGTTTGTTAGCCATCAAAATAGTGATTCCGCGTTTTTTGCTGCTGATTCCCGTCTGGTGCAGACTAAGAACGCGCTAAAATAGAAGACAAAAATGTACAGCAAATTAGCTGACAAAACCGGTGCAACGGTAGCGATGGACACAGATACTAAAATGAAGTGTCAGAGAGTTCATCATTTTTAGTCAGACTGTGATTCACAAGCTACCTGTTCTCGAATCTGATGGTAAACAAAAGAAATCCACTTCTTCCTTCTCAGACTTTCAAAAGAAAATTGTGTGTGCCACTTTTTTGAATACATTTTTAGGTTTCTATCCGTAAAACGCCAAACGTCTTATCTCAATTTCAAACCAAACGGCTGGTTGGAAAAAATCCGTTTTTACCCAACTTTGCGATTGACTGAATCTGACTGAATCTGGAGAGTTAAGGTATGTAAATGGAAAAATCTAGAATTTTCTGGTTCTGTTGTGTAGCAGATGCAAACAATAGGAATCTCATATCCGTAGTGTATGTTCTGTTCCTCACCCATATCAATGGCTCTTCTCCTACACCAAAAATGTAGGCCTCAATGGACCTGACTTGAAAATCAGTATCACTGGATATCGCAATTGTGACCGCATCGATTATCAAGCGGAAAATGGTGAGATGAAACATTCGGCCTCAAAATAATGAATATTGCAGAGTCCGGAAAAGAAATTTTTGTGCAAGGGCATTATGACCGTGATTGGTGGAATGTTGATTCATTTCTCATTCGGTTACTTTTATACTGTTGGTGGGTTCAATGATAATGGTCAACCTATGTTTAGCCAATATGACTCCATACATATACAGTTACGTGAGAGCTCGAGTGGACCCGAATGCAGATAAAAAGCTTACAATCTGGTTATCGGCGATCGCGCTGGTTATGCAGGGCGTTATGATGCCCATTGGTGGCCTTGTTTCTCAGAAAATTGGTTTCCGTCCGGTCGTTGGAATTTCGTGCGTAGTTCATAGGTGAGTTATGTTACGTACATTTTCATATGTGCTTGAAAAGAAAATGTTCCTTTCTGATCTGGGTCTCCTTGGTTTCAGCGTCTGAAAGAAATGTCAAGCAAATTGATCCACCAAGGCGTTTGTCAGACAGATAAAAATTCACGGTCAAGTTTACAAACCACTTGCTCACTCTATAGGTACTCGCAAATTTGATCGACTTTATCAATGAAGAATATACAAAATAAACTAAGGGGTGGCCCCTTAGATACATAGGTGGCTCATAATGCACTGTTTCCATAAATTGAAGACTCTTCTTAACGAAGCAACACGGATAATAAGTAACCATCATAAATGCTTTAACCAGTCTCCAAAAAATCCTTCGACTGAGCTTGGAGCTGCCATCTTGTCCGCCAGACCATCTGTTTATCCGGGCCAGTGTTATTTTATCTGATCAATGTGTTTGTCTTCTGTTTCAGTGGATCCGTACTGCTGACATACGTTACCGTTTTGAGGTCCTACACAGGAGTCATTTTGACCTACGCACTAGTTCAAGGTGCTGGGTTTGGATTTGGTTACTCCGTAATTTTTGGTGTGGCGACTGGAGTGAGTTCCGTCTTACCTTTAGTAAATCAGTCCTTCACATCTTTTGATGACCCAAGGGGTTATTCGAAGGACGCATTCTATATTCTGGCTGCCAAAGGGTTTCTATCACCATGACGAAATTGCTCAACCCCCAGAGATAGTTCGTCTGAAGTCTGTTCTCACAAATAAGTCGTCTGTATCTCCATCGCGTACACTGACTTTTTAACAGAATTGAAGACCACCAATTAAGTAGTGATTTATTTTTCCCATGACAGCCATGAAAGCCGTATTCAAATAGCGCAGGTTATAGTACAGGGATATTTTTCAGAATACTTTAGTCCTAAAAATGGATTTCTCAAGACCCGGCCTGTCGTGCTTCAATTTTAGTGGTTTCCAACCCGGCGCCCACTAATATTTGGACTGGTTGTTGGTGGTTTCGGTTTGGGTGCTCTGATCTTCACTCCAATACAAATGTCTTTCATCAACCCGGATAATATCCCCACGGTTAACGGGTAAGTGGTGCTTGGTAAGTGACCATTAAAGCAACGAAGAAGTGTACAATGTGCTACACACGCCGGTTGCAAGACAAAGCAGTCTGTAGTTAGCCAAGGGAAATAGCGTCACACCCACATAATTTCTATGTCACGCATTTTAACGCAACAGAAGCCTGCCATTGTCATCAACGTAACGGTCGAAATTTCCGACGCTGAAAAACCAGTGTAATGCGGTCAAAGACTCTGCCTCTAAACTAGTTCATCTGCAAGAAAACGCCTACCTGCTCATGGCTAATGTTTTTCAGGTTGATGAAATATGTCAAGGGAAAAACCGCACAGCAGCTGTAGGCACTTATACCAAAGACATGAACATACCGATGACCCTGAAAAGAGCAAGGATGTTTTTTGCAAAGGATCATTCTTTCACATTTCGAGGATCTACGGTATTAGAACGGATTGCGAGATTATTCGAACCGTTTTACTGCTGAGAAAGAATAAGTAATCCGTTTGATTTCAGCTTGCTCAAAATAGACACGTCTACTTCATTGAGATCCTATGATTTTTCTTGATGAGATGAGTGGTGAGACTTTTGAGCTGAGTTTTCAATTTTTGAGAGAAAGGCGAAAAGATGCTTGCGCTGAAGACACAACTACTATCTTTTCCTTTTTCATCTTTACCAGTCCTTCCCAATACAGTCCATGAACATACATTTCAAGTCAAATTCAATCAACCAATCATTCGTTTCAAGGAAGAAGATCTGAGTATAGTGTTTTGGGTGAAAATTTTTAGATAGATTTCGGTCGGATTATGTTAATTATTGCAAAAAATCGACTGGCCAAACTGGGTGGTTGGCCCCCCTCGGATTAGATGAAATCTCATCTCACTACCTGATAGGTGACAAAAAGTTGGTCTAGAACAGCTGCTTATTCAGCGCGTGATGATCCATACATAACTTAAATATATGTGCCAGCATGGCATTCCACCTGTTAAAATTAGCACCATAGTACTACCAAGGTTATGTATTTGTGATGAGTCATACATTTTCACGTTACTATTCCATTTGAGATTCACGGGCGGCACAAAACAACTCGAAGAAGCTGAGATAGTCTTCAGCTGCAATACCTTAAATGTTCTCACAGCTAAGGGACACATAAATGTTATTATTCCTACCATAAAGGCGAGATTGCGACGGCAATCCAGCGATTTCCTCTTACTGGGTTGAGAGGGTACACAAAAAGCTTTAATGAACACAGTTCAGGGTGTTTGGTAATTTTCTGTAGAAATGGATCCCATTGGGGATATCCAGGTGCCACATCTGACTTTCTGACTATTCTGATGCCATGAGGGATTTGCAAATTACTTATCTTAGATTCCCTCAAACACATTAAGATCAATAATTCTCACTTACCTATAGGCGACAAGAAGACGACATTTTCATTACACCCCAGCCAACAAATATAGGATGCTCGAATATGACGTTGTGGACCGAAGGAGTGATATCAATATATTGGCAAAGAACGAAAACCGCCATAACCACGAATACGCAGCTCGATACCTTTGGTAACCGAGTGATTAGACTCACTCACCCAGTTTCATAGTAAAGTTAGCTACACTTTAGAGGCTAAAACCGATATACTCAACCGCGTCAACTCGGGGTTTTCAGGCATTCTTAGTGGGTCTGTACTCTTTAGCGGAGAGTAGACAGGTTCCATACACTTTAGAGGCTAAAACCGATATACTCGACCGCGTCAGCTCGTAGTTTTTCAGGCATTCTTAGTGGGTCTGTACACTTTAGCGGAGAGTAGACAGGTTCCGCAGAATGGTGAATTTTACCGTGGGTGTCCTTATACGCTGAAATTAAATGAGTGGGCAAAATGACTGCCATTTGTCGTCACTAGTGTTGGCGAAGTTAGTGAACGAGTTAAGCATTAGAAACTTCGTTTATCTAGACACATGGCGTCTGCCTGTCTGAACGATCCTCGTCGGGTAACGTAGAGAAATGTCGCACGTGTACTGCATACACTCGTGCGTCGAAATCTCCCAAACTCAGATGCCTGGTTCTCTGTGAGCAAGAAACACGGTCCAGAAACAACTGGACCATTGTTAATTTATGGCTGGACGGTTGTGCAACTTTTGTTAAAATGTCGTGAGTTCTTATCACGCCGCTTGACCTAAACAAGACTTACATGGCAAAATAATTTTAGCAAGCAAAACGGGATTATATAGGCTGTGTTCAAGCTAATTATTGATAGGGAACCGCATATAACTACAAAACTAACCGTGAAGCAATTGCGGCATGGCGTCGGTTCTGTTTTGAAAATGATCCCGACAACGCTCCGCTACGTGCACTTGGAAATTGTCGACCTCGCAGGTCAACAAGATGTGACCGATTGGACGGACAATCAGTGGTTTCAGGTGTTGGTGGTTGTGGAATTTTTTTAGAAAATATACTCACATGACTCTCGTTTGAATAAATGACCTCCTGCCCTCGCGCACTCATCCAGGTGAGTCCACACCAAGGGGGGACACTGGACTCGAGTTTTGCCCTAGTTAGAGCTCATCAGCAGTGTATCCCATGTCTCCATGTATCCAGTGTTTATCCCATGGGTGTGAACATTTGATGTGCGAGGTGAGCGTGTTACCAATGAGTCACCAGCGCACATTGGACTCACCCGAATTTTTATGTCTGAACAGGTGAATGTGTTTGCGCTTGAGTGATGTGAGCAGGACGCCCGACGCCTCGAACGACTGCCCAGTACTTATAGTTTGTTTCCAGCAATCTGTTGGACCACGTTGAGTTACGCGCAAACTCCGAAAGTCAAATCGTTCAAATGGAGGTTTATCTACAAATGCGGTACTATAAATACAATAGTAAAATAATAAAACTGTACAAACCTGAAATCGTGGGACTATGCTGCCTTCTGTTTACCGGTTTAAGAACTGCTTATTACTAACGGACCCCAAAGTCCACACCGACTCAAAGCCACGTGTTTACAAGATAGCGAAACAACATATTGACTTAAACAACACGTCCGATGACAAGGTCAAAGAACGGTTTATGTTCAGGTCAAAAACAAGCAAAGTGGTATAGACGCAAAACCAAAATAACAAAAATGAGGAATAGGGTTGTACTACATAGAAATAAAATAAATGAATCGACAGTAATATACGTTGGTTGTGTCGATTGACTGGCCTGCCACTCAGAACTTCCCGGTCATGTAGCGTCTACCTGGGGTTTCAATGAATTTAAAATTAACATGTAATCGATAGTTCTTATCCGCAGGCTTATGTGGTTTACCAGATACATACTCATGGAAAGTATGATTTTATTACTTGAAGCATCTCTATTTTACGCAAGAGATAAGGACAAATGCTCAGTACTCAAATAAACGGTTCTTAAGTTTGCATGCGGTGGTGTACAGTGCCCACCGAAGTTGTACGATAATGTAGCAATGAGGATGTTACATTTATTCATAAATCTTATCTGTTTTGCCAACCATTACAGGAGATTCGTGGACGACAGTGTGCTCAACCGCCTACCGAAATGCTTTCTACTCTGTGGTGGAGTTCTGCTGGGGATACAAATAATCGGGTTTTGTTTAATGCAACAGAGACCTTCAAAGGTGAGATCAACACTCATGCATGACATAGTGAGGACTTGTGTGTGAGCAAAAACAGCGTGAAAGTTGACCTTATGAACCTGTTTATCCTAAAGCATAAATTCCGTGGCCCGACAGATCGGCAGACTATTGAGACTGGAGAAAATATCTGTTAGCCTTTTGGGAAATTGCCGAATCATGAGGAGCTATAAGTCAGCCGTTCATCTACCGAATGATCTGAGGTAATGTACGTGACTTAGGCTAGATATCGATACAACTAGAGATGACGAGAATGCATATAATACTTTGCTATTGAACGGTCGAAGTCATTCTTGATTTCCAACCCATATATCCACCTAGATTCCTTAATGGAAATAAAGACCGGTATGCGTGTTCTGAGCTCATCGTTAAAGCTTTCTTGTCAGTATATGTCCCCTTAAACGATGTTTGTGAAAACCTTAGTACAAACTTTACCATTCTCGATATCCAAACTAGAAACCCGGAGAAGAAGAAGAAATAAGGGTCGAGGAAGAAGAAATTGAAAATGTGAGTCAGTTTGACTTGTACACAGCCCCTGTGGTGCACATAACACATCCAGAACAAATACGAAATATTCTTTACTAATTTTCCTTACTGTACGTTCCAGGAGAAGTCACTCGAAGAGTAAGTACATCATTGTGTATTTCGTTTAAAAATTTGAAATAGCTTCTTTGTAAGCAGAGTGTATTTTCCCAAGCACATTGTCCTGATCTGTTGTATATATATGAATAATATCAAGGATAGTTCAGCTTTAATGCCCTTTCGGCGCCTAGCTGCCATGACACCCGAACAAAGCGCGCGGGCTGAGACAGTCAGGTTGCCCAAGCCTAGACAGACGAAGCTGAGAACATAGGCCACGTTTTGACCATGGATCTTCCGGAAAGTTGATTCGCGCTTTAACCACTGGGCTATCTCGTACTTGTCCCTGTTGGGGTTCATGTTGACCCTTCAGTTTCTTAAAGATTCTTATTAGTATATTGAAACTTAGACTGTTAACAAGTTGACGCTTGATGGAGAAACGTGGTCTGCTTTGGAAGTTCCGGTCATAACTAGCTCAGATATCGCTAAAATGATCGAAAGGCATGTGGTGTATAATATAGAATCTAAAAGTCAAAACACATCGTAGTGAAGTAGGATGTTTTAATCGGACGCCTTTCTTGTCGTGAGAAAACTTTTATGGGGATTCTACAACTAACTAAGTGCGAGTCAGGGACGACATCATTGCCTCCGCTGATTTGTGTGTTCCTCGGGTCAGTTGGCAGTCAGTGTGGCCAGTGGGTGTGGGTGCGTTAGCTCTGTGAATACCTGCGCGTGATTCTGTGTATTTTGATTAGGATATGCCTACGGCTGTTGTGATGGTTGTGATTGGAGTCCCGTTTGACATCTAGCTAAGATCCCTACAAGCACGTGGAGGCATTCCAGATGCTGACACCATCACTACAACAGATTCAAGATGGTTGTCTGTTGATCTCTAGCACTTCAGGGCACGCTTGTTCCACATGTGACTTGAATCCTGAGTGGAGTACGCGTGTACCATTGAAGTTGATTTGATATCATGACTCAAGTATGTGGCGGCCCATTGGCCGCACAGTGCAATTGGAATAAAACTTTTAACCCCGAAATATTGTATTTTGTTGCGAATGTGTTTCAAACCAAAGCCCATCCTAATCTACGTTCATATTTTCGCAGCTACCAAATTTGGATTGTCCACTGAAGTAATCATACCTCTAACGGAAAACTTCCCTAGCATCGCTGAGAACTCGCGATGCCTAGATGGGGCTCAAAAGTTTGGACTCATATCCTGAAATCCATTTCCTATCCCTTTTAGTCCATCAGGGATACGTCGTAGCCTTCGAAAATTCAATTCTATTGTGCGAACGCCGGGCGCCACTATGTTGGAGTGCATTTGCTGATTCGCGTTCAAGCATTTTTTTAAAACTCAGTTAGACTTCGTGAAGCAAACCACGTGTGGCGTTTGTACTCCACGATTCGCACTTGGAGCTGTCTGGCTGTCTGGCCTATACATATTTAACTGGACATCCTGCACAGGGATTTGTTAGAAGCAATCTGTGCTGTTGCGGTTCGATAGGGTACTTAGCCTTTACGAGGTGACCACTGGGTTTATATCTCCCTGTTCCGGACAATGAACCTTATGGAGTATTCATTTCTCAATTGTTTTGGTTCACCTGATCGTGTAGACTCATCCGAGCACAATAACTAGACACGATTCACTAGCGATCCGACGACTGCACGCTTGACGTAATGTGGATGCGAAAACTCATGGTGAAAGTGCCTGTCTGAATGTGTGGATTTTCCACGGATTCCCACTGAGACGCCATTGTTCGTGTTAGCAGATGGCTTGCAGTTCAGGAAATTAAGAGTAATCTCTTCAGCATCAGCCTCTACCGTGAATTTCATACTACTGCATTGTCCGTTCGAGCAGTTTAGAAAGACATGCCACTGTGTGGCTGATATGATAGCAAACATGTGGCCAACGAATCTCGGTCAGGTGTACGGTGAATGGACAAAGTCACGTAAGGTCTTAGTTTGAACATGGCGCGAGAAAAGATTAGCTACCATGGGTGATACTGGAGATCCTACGACGACACCATCAGTGTGTCTACAGAGTGCATATTGAAATGTGAAGTATGTGGTGCCTAGACACAGTTCAACATCAGTAATAATATCAACGGTACACAAGGCCTTATGTAAAGTAGGAGCATGTTGTCGAACAACATAGAGGACGTGAAAGCTAAACAGACATTAACTGGTACGCTAGTATACAGAGCTGTTATGTCAAAGCTGACCGCCAATTCATCATATTTGATGTGGCTATAGTGAAGTATATTAACGAAGTCAAAAGGACTATTCACGTGACGTAACAGCTAGCTGATAACGAAGATTCAATAAGGACACCTGAGTATTTGAATAGGTTGTGAGTTAAACAGGCAGTATAGTCCACGATGAGCCGTACATGTGTTTTTGGCAAAAAATAGAAACTTTCAGGCCCATTGGATTCAGGGACAAGTGGATGCAATTGGAATAAAACTTTTAACCCCGAAATATTGTATTTTGTTGCGAATGTGTTTCAAACCAAAGCCCATCCTAATCTACGTTCATATTTTCGCAGCTCACCAAATTTGATTGTCCACTGAAGTAATCATACCTCTAACGGAAAACTTCCCTAGCATCGCTGAGAACTCGCGATGCCTAGATGGGGCTCAAAAGTTTGGACTCATATCCTGAAATCCATTTCCTATCCCTTTTAGTCCATCAGGGATACGTCGTAGCCTTCGAAAATTCAATTCTATTGTGCGAACGCCGGGCGCCACTATGTTGGAGTGCATTTGCTGATTCGCGTTCAAGCATTTTTTTAAAACTCAGTTAGACTTCGTGAAGCAAACCACGTGTGGCGTTTGTACTCCACGATTCGCACTTGGAGCTGTCTGGCTGTCTGGCCTATACATATTTAACTGGACATCCTGCACAGGGATTTGTTAGAAGCAATCTGTGCTGTTGCGGTTCGATAGGGTACTTAGCCTTTACGAGGTGACCACTGGGTTTATGTCTCCCTGTTCCGGACAATGAACCTTATGGAGTATTCATTTCTCAATTGTTTTGGTTCACCTGATCGTGTAGACTCATCCGAGCACAATAACTAGACACGATTCACTAGCGATCCGACGACTGCACGCTTGACGTAATGTGGATGCGAAAACTCATGGTGAAAGTGCCTGTCTGAATGTGTGGATTTTCCACGGATTCCCACTGAGACGCCATTGTTCGTGTTAGCAGATGGCTTGCAGTTCAGGAAATTAAGAGTAATCTCTTCAGCATCAGCCTCTACCGTGAATTTCATACTACTGCATTGTCCGTTCGAGCAGTTTAGAAAGACATGCCACTGTGTGGCTGATATGATAGCAAACATGTGGCCAACGAATCTCGGTCAGGTGTACGGTGAATGGACAAAGTCACGTAAGGTCTTAGTTTGAACATGGCGCGAGAAAAGATTAGCTACCATGGGTGATACTGGAGATCCTACGACGACACCATCAGTGTGTCTACAGAGTGCATATTGAAATGTGAAGTATGTGGTGCCTAGACACAGTTCAACATCAGTAATAATATCAACGGTACACAAGGCCTTATGTAAAGTAGGAGCATGTTGTCGAACAACATAGAGGACGTGAAAGCTAAACAGACATTAACTGGTACGCTAGTATACAGAGCTGTTATGTCAAAGCTGACCGCCAATTCATCATATTTGATGTGGCTATAGTGAAGTATATTAACGAAGTCAAAAGGACTATTCACGTGACGTAACAGCTAGCTGATAACGAAGATTCAATAAGGACACCTGAGTATTTGGATAGGTTGTGAGTTAAACAGGCAGTATAGTCCACGATGAGCCGTACATGTGTTTTTGGCAAAAAATAGAAACTTTCAGGCCCATTGGATTCAGGGACAAGTGGATACCACCGTGTTTTAGTCGTTGCAGTTACTTAGTAATCCGAAATTTGGTCCTTTTGACAGTTAGGCCTTCTTTCTGCAGTTTGATTTTTTCATAAGTATCCAACGTTAGATGTTCCAATGTTTGACTTTTATTAAATTGATTGTAGAATTGCTCGAAAATGGTTGATTGCAGTAACGGGAACGCCGCCTTATGAGTTAAAATCTTTTATAGTCTCTTTCAGTTATCTAGCGTGAGCATCAAATTGTGCAAATACCACAAAGCTCTTTATTGTCCTTTTATTAGCAGTAATATGGACACTGATGAAACATTTAGTGCATGGATATAGAGATGTGGATTTTTCATTAAGACGTGGGAATAAAATTTATACAAATATATGAACGCCTGCCTTAGTGCGTCATTAAAATCTGAAGCTGTGAGAAGAGAGGATAACCTGAGGTTGTTGAAATAGTTGGTTAACTCCAGACGTGTGATATGAACGTCAGAAAAGAAATCAATCTGCTCTGGAAACCCCAGTAGGCTGGCAGCAAACACTTGCTTGACAAGATATAATCAGGTGACTTGGATGGAAGAGCTCGTTTTTAAAAAGATAATTGTGACTCTGTATATATTAGAGCATGTAGCATTCAAGAGAAAAGGAGTGACGCAATGTCGGTCAATTTCTGTTCTGATTATGCCCCAAAAATAGCTGTGAGGTGAACAAAAGCATAACGCGAGTGGTCACATGATCCATCTACTTCCTGAAAATTCATGATTTGTTGAAACAAACTTCAACAGTTGAAGCCTGCTGACGTCTGTTTCAAAACTGAGTAATACGAACTTTGAAATAAATGCCAGGGATCAAGCCATTGGTCTATTGCGCCTACTAATGATGCCTGCACAATTGATGACGAAACGTCTGCAAGTTGCCGGCGAAAAGATCAACAACTACGTGATCCACGACTAGGCTTGATTGTTTTTTATGGTGAATAAGATAGATAATATCACAATTATATTGAGTGGTAGCCCGCTTTTGTTTACAATACAAAGTGATTCACAATTTTCATATCGGTACAATTCTGAGCAACTAGACCATTTTCCGATATGACTGCGTTTTTCTCTCACACTGTTCTACATTTCCTTCGTAGCAATTACCCTACTAAGTGCTTTTATTTGTCACATGTGATTTAATCGCGGTCTTAGTATGAAGGTCTAGCCTTCCGGATATGCGTTTTGCAGATCACTTTAGAGTTAATCAGAGATTCCTGTGAATCGGTCGTTCGTCACTCTGATGATGTCAGTAAAATATACGTGGGTTTTTCAAAAAGATTGCCAAATGAAACAAGTGTTCAGGTAAAGGATGTCGGGAACGAAAAGTTTCAGTTGAGTCTATCGTTGGCACCAAGGTGTTCTGTTAATAACTACATTTTACCATGCGTATACAATTTCGCGTACAACATGAACATAAGTCTGCAGTAAAATCGGGGACAACACTCACCCTAATAGCCCCAAAAAAAGGAACCCGATGAATAGCCCTCGTTTTAAAAACATTTCCGTAGAGAACACATACCACCTACTCTAGTATATCACTGATTGAGGCACTTAGTCTACACACACAGCGTTGCCTATTTTCACTTTGGCACACAATGAAAAACGAATCCCTAGAAAATGAGGTTCGGACATTCAGTTAAGAAGGAAAAGTTGGAGTCATGGGCTATACACAATGCGTAGTTACATACTGAACGTTTTGTGACGTGGAAATCAGAAATTGACTATCCAATCAAGTGGTGCATTTTATCTACTTCCATTTCAGAGTAGTCGAATTGAAGCCAAAGGATCTGATTCATCGCCTAGATTTCTACCTCCTATGGCTTATTCTGCTATTTGCGGCCATTCCAATCACCATTATCGCATCCGCATATAAGGCAAGTGTCCAGCTGCGACAACACATCCTTTCTTATCGCCTTGTCCACCAAATGCATTTTCACTAGCCGTCAGACCCTTTATCTTTCTCGACTACAGCTATTCGGACAAGCTTACATCACCGATGATCGTTTTCTGTCCGCTGTTGCAACCGTTTCGTCTGCGTTCAACTCGGGTGGTAGAATCTTTTGGGGTTTAGTCGTCGACAAGTTTTCATTCAAGGTGAGCCATTTGATCGAGGAATTTTCACACGGTACTGGTTATTTGGCAGATACGCGATTCGAGAAAATGATTCAGCTAAGTAGGTTTTTAAAGGAACACCACGATGCCAAAAGCTCTAAGGAACTGAAGGCAAATACTTCTTGAATGAAGCAGGTTACGGACGCACAAAAATCAGAATACATGGGCGAATTTCTCAACTATACTTTATCATTCGTGCCACGCGGACTTGAAAAACTAGTCAACAGTGGTTTTCCTTCTGGTTACTTGTTCATGCCTAAGAACCTCCCGACAAAAACTGCTGCAAATGTTCACTAAGCGCACGTTACTCTTTGTGGACTGATGGGTTTTGACTAGCATGTGTAAGCGTAATCACATCCACTGAGCATGATATTCGGCTCGGTAGCTTCAATTCTTGACTTAAATATGGATATTTTTAGAATACTTGGTTTCTGTTGACCTATGCTTGGAGCTAAACGAAACACACCAAGTACTTAATTAAACCATTATGAGTAGGCGTAACATACACAATAAAACAAAAGCACGGACTGACTGCCTCAGCAAACTCGCCTTGAGCGATTGTAACTTGAAGTGATTGTGTCAGAGTGCCATACTGTTTTTGATCATGGAAAACGTTATATTTTCATGACATTTTTCAATGGATGTATTTGAAAGGTAGAATCTTCTTTGATGACGATGATTATGTACAAGCTGTAGTCTAGCACAGTGCTTAATGCAACCGAAAGTGTGACACAATGTCACGAAGACGACGTTTAACACAGGGGCAGAACTCACCACATCCGTAACAACTTCTGGTAGAATTTTGTTTGCTTGGTATTTGTAGCATTCATTTCGTGGAATACAGAGCAGAATGTTGCCCAAAGTAACCATTCACAATACCATTCGTTTAAAAGGTTACATCGTTCTGATCTTTCTTTTAATAACTTATGTCAGGCGCTTGCAGGCATGTGATTTTTTGTGTGAGCAAAACTTTTTCGTTGTGACTCCGTCATTAACGCTGGCTACCATTCGTTCCGACAGTTGGCCTACGTAACTGACAGTTTTGTCCTATGGACGACAAAACTACTAAAAGTATGCTATTGACAGCGGCTAATCTAGGGCTAGGAAAACTCCACTGTCACACAATTAGCATGTTCCAGCATCGGCACATGAAGGGCCACCGTATTGCTCCGTTTTTACCAAACACTACTCCGAACAAGTTGATTGCTTGAAGGTAAACTATCAACTACAAATTTTCACGGTGCAACAAAAGACTCCAAGTGTCAGTGGCTAAAAGTTTCAACTGTGGTATGCTTCAGATGCATGTGCCACACAAAGTTAGATTTACGCTGCACATGGAAAAGCACTCAAGAACTATCTCCCTACCACACATTATCCAGGAGGGATGAAATTTTGCTGAAAAACCAACTACCGATTCCGCTTTCTTCAGGACGACCTGGTATCGATTGCCTAAAAATTTCACTTCTCGCCTGAGTGTACAAGTGGAAATACATGCTGGCTTGCATGTGTAAGGGAATGTTTTCACTAGCAAAATATTCTCACAGATGTGGTCACTGTGTACTCAGAAATAGCGTTATTGTTTTCCCTAAATAGAAACGAACAATCGGTACCAGAAGGCTTACTTGTAATTTTTCTTTTCATGTGCTATAGCTCCCTCTGTGCATCTTACTGTCGATTTGGGCAGTGGTCCTGGTCACTTTTCCCCATTTATATCTTGCCGGCGGAACAGCCCTCCGAATTCTTTATGTCATTTGGGTTTGCCTACTGTGGTTCAGTTTGAGCGGTGTGTTAACCATCATACCGTCCGCAACGGCTATACTATTTGGTCAGAAGAACGTTGCGACAAACTATGGAGTCGTGTACAGTGCATTCGTAAGTAAACAATACTAGTGTTTGTGTATTTCCGTTTTGCGTAGACGATGCTGATTTTTGCTTCATCTTTCCTTTATCTAGTCTTTTGGGAGCTTGTTGTGTGGCATTTTCCAAACGTTTCTTCCGGAGCAGCCTTACGTAGTTCAGTTCTCAACGTGTTTTGTTCTGGTAACTGGAGGTAAGCTAGTGTGAGCAACTCACTAATTGAAACTCAACACACTTATTAATATGCTGTGCGCTTGAGTCTCTAAAAATACCCGACCATTCAACAATCCTCCCCCCGTATCTCTTCTGTTTTATAGATGATGATATTCTCAGTATACTTTTTATTTCAGCTCTGGTAATGACGTTATGGGTGACAGATATGAAGCTGAATCACCGGCTCACATTATGTCGAAAACTTACCAGACAGTGTGCTCGATGCCGTGACAGCAAACAACAGACGAATAACGTTTAATTCCATAGGAGAACAAATATGTTTACTATCATTGGTTTCCTCGTAACCATTTTTTTCAATCAGGAAAGGGAGTCTACAGGAATTCGAGTACGTATGTGAATTACTGTTGGCAAACCAAATCTGTGTTCAGTACAAAGCCTTCGGTTTTTGAGGAAACCTTAACAGACGAGGATTTTAGCTAATCCTGTGATTGTGCTTTGGTTACATATCTCATTTCCGCTCAACAACCAGATGGATAGAAGGAGAACCCGATTTTTGTAATGTCGCATTTCATTTATTAGGTAACTTACCCAAAAATTGAAAGGCAGGTTTAACTTCTCTTGGTTATCAGTTATTTTGCTATAATAATTTGTTTCAGATGGTTTTGCCTAAAATGCTCCCCCCCAGAAAAAAACATTTCCTCATCCATCAAATTGTTTGCAGCAGGGACACTTGTTAAGAAACATCTTTCAATGGATTGCTTGTTATTACTGATTTTTTAGAACCAGTAGTCAGATCAGCGGCTTTGACCACCATATTGAGGCAAACCCTGATCGGAGAATCACTTTGCTCCCTTCGAAAACCAGTTATTATGAATGAAAGTTGTTCATCTCTGTAGAACGATATTGCAGCGGACTGGCCATTCCACCTGAATCGTCGGTTGGACTGCCTTTATCTTTGGAGGGTTCTCTTTCAACCAGCGTTTTGGGCCTTTTTCACCCGGCCTACTCTCTTAAATCTCACACGCTTTACCGCTGGAAGTAATGGGATATTTTCGGGGCGCGGGATTTCCGTTTGAAAGCAATCAATGTGATTTCATCTCTGCTAATCATCCGTAATTTTTTGACCGGATGCTTTTAGCAAGATCCTCCTACAGCCCGTACTTTTTCAGGAAGTATTCCAGGCATGAAAGCTAATCTTTGTGATACGTCAAATATGAGCCCTTTGAAAGATATGTCTTTCTTATTCAGATTATCTTGGCAAACTGATGGGTTCCTCATCCATTCGTTGTTGTTTTTGAGATTTCTCTTCTTGGTTGGTTGGCTTATTTCAGTATTCACATCATATGTCCCTCGCGTTGCTTATTCCGCATTTCGGCAATTACTTAAATTCAATTATTTAATGATGACGAGTAATCATGACAGCGTTTGTTTTATCGACATTCATGACTCTGTTCATTAGTGGAGGCGGATGCGTGCATCGGCACCATCATTAACTCATCACCTAATTAAGCAGCTATTTATTCAATAAATCAATTGCTGACTATACTGCCTTGCTAACATCGAAGCATCCGGATGGCCCAGTGGAGGTCTGTGGATGGTGTAGAAGCCTGTCGGTAGGTCGTGTTTTTCACTTACCAGCGTGTTTGGACTCTGTACGCCCAAAATTGGTAGACTTTGAAGGTTTCAAAACTCAGGCAGTATACATAGTGATTGGGTTATCTGTTATGATTGGTAATTTGGTTGTAAGGTTTTCACCATCAATAATGATAACCTGGTCACTGTGTTTTTGGGTACATGTCTGAAGGCGCCGGTCAGATTTGCGCTAACACCAACATAAGTTCTGTTGACCAGGAGTGGGTTTCGATTAGGTCGTTTAGATACCCAGGTTGGCTCTACCTCCGAGTGACTGAATCCCAGGAAACCTTTGATCACGGTTTGTAGCCATGATATATATATATATATATATATATATATATATATATATATATATATTGT